CCCCAAAACCCCAAAACCCCAAAACCCCGATCGGTAATAATAATTAACATTTAAAATATTTGAATTATAATTAAAACTAATAATTAATACTCTTCTAATGTCAATTAAGGTAACTCAACCAAGAGACAAGCAGCTTAACCCCTAATCTCAGCATTACTTTAAGCCGCAATCTTCCCACAACCATAATATGTCCTACGAAGATGCAATTATGATGACCCCTAACGCCAAGCGTTATAGAAATGATACTTGCATGATGAGTTCTTACTCAAAAGCTGAATTTGATACCACTTAGTAGCAACATCAGAGCATCGCAAGAGAAATTTATCTTCCAACAGAAATGGACAAGCTAAAGAAGCTATTTCCATTTCTAGACAATGAGGTAAAATTTATCAAATATTCTAAAATCCTATAGCAAATCCAAGAAGTGCTAAAAGAATGCGACAAGGACTGCTCAAAGGCTTACAACAAGCTTCTCACATAAAAGAACCCTAATCTGAAAGATGAATAAGGCAAGGCACTTTTGAGTAAGAGAGTGGGTGCTCCCCAGCAATTCAGCCAAGACCCTAATTAAAATCAAAGTGCATTGAGTTCTGCAAGATAAAGCAAGAAGAGAAGAAGGGACGACTATGAATCTGATTATTCTTCGATTATGGATATGAACCAAGTTTCTCTTCGCTCATCAGTATCTGTGCAGAACTCTTCTAATTTGCAGTAGTAGAGTCAATAAATAAGTGCTTAATAACTACAGCCTAATACTTAAAATAGCTCACAAAACCAAAATCAACAGCTAGTAAATCATAGCTAAGCCCAACAAATCTAGCAATAAATCCAAGAGAGACCTCTTGAAGAATCATACGCAGAAAATAGTGTCAAGGAGCTAATGAATATCTAGTGTGCTGAAGATGCTTATAAGGTATTAAACAACATGTTCAAAACTTTTAAGTGTAAGTTTCGCATATCAATTAACCAACTAACTTACAGAGGAATCTAGCAAAAAGTATATTGAAGCTATTAAAGTTTGTTTAAGAGATAACTAAATTCTCAAGAAAGGAGTCATTATCTAGAACAAGAGATCACAAGTAAGAAATTTATGAATTATTCATATTTAATTAGGAAGCAATGCAAAAAGCAGCTGACTATGACTAGCTATTTGAGGTAGTATAAAAGCAGGCAGAGGAAATAGGTTTCTTGAAGTCCTAGAATGCCTAGCTTAGCACCAGCTTGATGAAGTCTTAGTTCAAGCCAATGATGAATCCAAACTGGTATAACAGCAACAATCACTTTGGTGGAGATCCTTCAGTCCTCTGATTGTATATTGTACTGATACACAATTGAGTTTTAGAGCTCACTCTAATTATTATCATAACTAATTAATTGGAAAATTTCTTCATTCATACTGCTTTTTTATTTTCTCTTAAGGGGTTTTGGGGTTTTGGGGTTTTGGGGTTTTGGGG